TCATACAAAAGAGTGTGTGGTTAACAGAGATTGGAACAACTTCCCTGGCTCCAGACTGGAGACACCCTTCCCTCAACACAGCAAAGAATCACTCTCTACTGTAACTACTCCTGTTTGTTAAACTTATTAATTGCATCTGATACTCTCTGCGTCAGTGGTCATTACTCATTAACTTCTCTGCCCAAACCAGTGTGTCAACTTGAGGTTTTACTATGACACCAAATGATTCCACTGGATCTGGTCACGAGATCAAGGGATGGACTCTGGCTGGACTGAACAGTACCCACTATTCACTTCAACAGAGAGAGCCGTAGGGGAAAAAAGGAAAGGTCTAAAGGGAAGGAACATCTGGAAAACACAGGAAGCAAGCACTCGAACTACTTTTCCTATGATTTCATCTGTCAGTTACATCTCATAGAAGCTGAGAAGTAAAAACAAACAAAACTTTGACTCTGGTAATTCTCAAAGACTTTTTGGTCATCGGACATTTGCCAACATGCTCTGACTTCAAGGGTACAAAATTTTTGATATTATTTCTGAGGAAAGTGTGAAGATGTGAGACCCACAATTTATTTTCTGCTCTACTATTACAAAATCTTGTATTTTTATCAAACTGATAAAGGGAAGACCTTTCATTTCATTTCATTAAGGGAAGACCAGAGGCTTTTAATGAGTAGATAAAACACAAAACAGTACATTTTAATATTCTTCCTGAAATGAGGGAACCTCAGTATCAAAGCCAAAGGTCAGAAGAGGGCTAGCAGAGGCTGCCAAGATGGGCCAGAGGTGACAAGGAAATGGTGTTAGATGTTTCAGGTATGGAGGATGGGCATTATGAAGGTACCCAGTCAAGTGTAATGGACAGAGATGAACTAATGAACCATCATCAGTGGAGTTACCCTGCTTATTGAAAGGAATATCAGAGGGAGAATCATTTTGGATTGCTCTGATTTTCACTAGATTGTAAGAGTGTCAGAAAAGTAACTCAAAGCCAGAATGGTCTCCTCATTGAATTTCTATCCATTCATTGCTTTGTCTACACAACTAGCAAAAGATTCACACATGGTTCCCAATATTAACTCTTGGATAATTAAGAAGGGAATTCACACTCAGGAGGGGAGGTGTGACAAACCAAGCTCTCAGCCAAGAAAGGCGAGTGGACATCTAAGGTGAGTGGACATCTAAGTTGCTCTTCTGTACGGCACATTTTGACTTGTGACATTGGTAATCTCCCCACATGGTTCCAGGGCTTTACTCTGTGTGTGTCAAACAGGGCAAAAGCTTAAGCTTTCACTGAAGGTTGAGTAAGTAGTCCTGAGATTAAAATAGTGCCCAGGAGTCCTGAAGATACTGGGACATCACACTGGCTTAATCAAGTTACAGGACTTCAGTTTCTCCTTCTTTATAGTTAGGCTAAGATAGACATGGAAACAGACAAAGATTTAACAAACCCATAGACAGAAGAGAGAGAAAATCTCGCAGTTAAGGCATAGGGGATCTCCTCTCGGGCTGCTGGTATGAGAATTCCAACTCGCCAGCTTACTTGCGTGTAAGGTTGTGCAAGATACTTATTGTGCTCTCCAGTCTAGGCTCCCTTACCTTCAAGATGGAGATTGCAGAAATATGGCACAGGGCTTTGAGAGAGTTAAGTGAGATAAGGACTTCCCTGGTGGCTTAGTCGGTAGAGAATCCACCTGCAATGCGGGAGACCTGGGTTGGATCCCTGGTTGGGAAAATCCCCTGGAGAAAGGCATGGCAACCCACTCCAGTATGCTTGCCTGGAGAATCCCCATGGACAGAGGAGCCTGGTGGGCTACCATCCATGGGGTCACAAAGAGTCAGACATGACTGAGCGACTAAGCACAGCACAAGGTATCCATAGTATTTAAAAGAGTATCCTGTAAATGGTGAGTGCTCAGTTAAAGTTAATTGTTGTTATATGTTTAAATAATTTCATTGGATAAGAGGCAGTACTACATTGCATTTCTCTATTCATGCTCTTCGGGGAAATTGAGCCTCTTCTGCTATAGAATCTCTCCCAGAGAATCCTATGTTGATTCAACACTGAGGGCTTCTAGTCTTCTTGAGACTGAGATCAGTGCCTCCAATGATACAAGGTCAAGGGTCTCCCACTATATGGCATTCATGGTTCTCCAAGTGTTACTAGACCTCTTAACTTTTAGAGGGAATCCATGGAATTACATTTTGATTGCCACTATAGGTTCTTTTCCATGTTAATATTTTAATAAACTTTATTAAACATTTTTCTTAATTCTCCAATCATTTATATATTTTTCTTAGGATTTTATTTCAAAAGTGTATAGATTTAGCCTTGACAATTTCCCTTTAGGATTCCAGTCTCTGAGAATCTAAACTTCAGCCTTCTCTAGGATCAAATATGTCTTTTAAGTATTGCCCATGCTTTCAGCTTTTTCTTGGATTTGAAATATTATAATTTGTAAGTAGATGTCACATTAGGAAAACTAACCAGATTACCCTGAACAGTTTATATAACTACATCTATAATAACTCCAGAGATGTCATTTTTGTCTTGAAGCAACCCAGAAAATGAAATGCTAGTTTATTTTTGAGAACCTCTAAAGAAGGAGATGTCTACATTTCTACTTGGGTGAAGTTCACAGTGGTTTAAGCACTATCTGACAACGATTCCCAATGGAATGAGAAAAACACCGAGCCTCAGACACGTATGCGATCACAGGCACCTCCAATGCTGATGCTCGCAATGCTACTGGAGCTGAGAACAGGAAGTGGGTACACTGATTCTGCCATTACCACAGTAACTGAAATCAGCCTGATGACTGACGAAAGTCTCATTGTTTTTGGACACAGATAGTTTAGACTTGCTGTCAATATTGCTCAGGTTCTACAATTTCATGATTCCACTTGAACTATTCAAGAACCATTCATGATGATTTTCCTAGAATTTTCAAAGTGAAGTCTTTTGCTCCAAAAGTTCCTGCCAAAAGGATTATAGCTGCCACTGTGCTGTGCTTAGCTGTGCTTGACTCCTTGGAATCGCATGGACTGTAGCCTACCAGGCTCCTCTGTCCATGCAATTCTCCAGGCAATAATATTGGAGCAGGTTGCCATTTCCTACTCCAGGGTACCTTCCTGACACAGGGATCGAACCTGCGTCTTTAGTGTTTCCTGCATTGGCAGTGGGTTCTTTATGACTGTGCCACCTGGGAAACCCTAAAGGTTTATGGCTTATACCAAGTAAAATGATATCAGCTGATCACAAGTCACACTGCCCTGAATAAAACACAATTTGAATTGCATATTGTGGAAAGAATGATCAGCTCTCTGCTCATGTCCACCCTGAGGCACACAACTAGCCTGCATTTTCCAGATTCCCAGCTTCGGCCAGCCTGGTTTCCCAAAAGGTTGCATACAGAAAAGGTTTCCTGCAGTGAGCATCTTGCCCTAGGTTGATCCAGGAGTGAGGAACAAGTTTATGCTATATTTAAGCCACTACCCATTTGGGTCTATTTATGAAAGAAGTTTAGCACTGGAGGGAGGTGGAGTATGGCATATCAAAATATGTCACCTGGGCATAAGGGTGACTTTTGAGCTAAAGGCACTTGTAAAACAGCAGGTGCAAGAGAGCACTTTAATCTCTCTTTTCTTCCTGAAAACAGGACACAGAACTTAAAAGATGCTGTCCCAGTCCCAGGAGGAAGGAAACTATCATCAGAGACTGGTGTCAAGCAGAAGAGACATCTTTACAGATCTTGTTAAAGTAACTCCTATCTTTCTTGAGTCTCCTCATATATTTTAGTTACTTTCCCACAAATGCCTCACTTTGCTCAACCTAGTTTACAAACACTGAGGTCTCACCATTTCTTTGGATCTTTATTTTCCCATGGGGGCTCTCTTGGACATGTGAAAACCTGTATGCTTTGCTCCTCTGTTGATCTATCTTATGTCAATTTAATTCTCGTGCTGGGCTAGAGACACTGAGAAAGATAAAGTTTGGTTTCCCCTACAGTGTTTCCCAACTAACTATATATGCTGTATTTTAAAATTATACACTCTTAGTACCATCACACATGAGCAGAGATACTTTAACTTCATTTTAGTCCTTTTTAGTCCATCAAAGTTGTTTTTACAAACTTTACTGTTTAGGAATCTCACAACAACCTTGACAAATAGCAACACTAGGAAAATATATATGTATAGTCAAAGCTATGGCTTTGTCAGTAGTCATGTATGGATGTAAGAATTGTACCATAAGAAGGCCGAGTGCCAAAGAATTGATGCTGTAAAATTGATGCTGTTGAATTAGGATTCCAGTCTCTGAGAATCTAAACATCAGCCCTTTCTAGGATCAAATATGTCTTTTAAGTATTGCCCATGCTTTCACCTTTTTCTGGAGCAAAAGGTCTTCTCCACTTTGTGCTGGAGAAGACTCTTGAGATTCCCTTGGACTGCAAGGAGATCAATTCAGTCAATCCTAAAGGAAATCAACCCTGAAATTTCATTGCAAGGATTGCTGCTGAAGCTGAAACTCTAATACTTTGGCCACCTGATACAAAGAGACATCTCATTGGAAAAGATCTTGATGCTGGAAAAGATTGAAGGCAAAAGGAGAAGGGGGCAGCAGAGAATGAAATGGCTAGATAGCATCATTGACTCAATGGACATGAATTTGAGCAAACTCTGGAAGACAGTGGAGGTCAGGGGAGTCTGGTGTGCTACAGTCCATGGGTTTGAAAGAATCAGCTATGACTTAATGAATGAACAACAATGACACGTTTCTTGAAAACAGTACTGCAGTAGGTAACTTTAAAGTCACTAAAGAAATTTTGAGTTCAAGCTTTCGATATTATGAAACAGAAAATCCCATAGAACCAGTAAAAAGAAAAGTAAACCAAGTTGCCATTTCAAACCTGAGTTGGTAGTAAATACACTTTGAAGAGATACTTCTGTGGTCCAAATGACCAGTAAGAAATAATTATTGACATCATAACTGTCCTTACCTGCTAAAGAGGACATATTAATAATGATGCCACCTTCACCTCCATTTTGTTTGCTCATGTAATCCAAGCCCAGGTAGGTTCCACTGATCACAGAAACCTAGTCCAGGGGCAGAAATAGGAAAAGCAACAGAAGCATTATATTTTATGATATAGTCACACCCCAACGTTTCTATTGCTATCTCAGACACTGATGGAGACTCCTGCAAGTGTTATCAATGAAAGGTTATAAAATGGCTGTGTTTTTGTTTTAAAGCCAGTCATTAACTCTTTTGTTTGCCTAAACTTGTAGAGCTCATCACATTTCTGCAAAACTTCACTTAGTTGCCCAAGTTCTGAGATTTTACAATAAATGTTACATTACAACAGTGTCTTATTAACTTGCATTAATTCATAGCACCTTCAAGAATTCTATATATTATTTTTCTCTTCTAAATACTGGATACAAAATTTATTCACCCTGTTTAGCCCATAGTTCTCTTGCCCAGGTATTCTACATCCATGTGCTGTGTTTCATTCTCTTGCCTCTTGGAATATATCATAGTGGATACCCTTGATTGCTGTACAGTTCTCATTTCCTTCTTTTTTGCATTTGTATCTACTTCTTCATGTAATACAAAGGAAGGCAATCTCCCTTGCTTTAGTGTAGACAGTGGTTAATCTAATTGAGTCACAGAAATCCCATTCCCCTTGCCCGAGACTGGTTTAGGAGATGAAAGTGACCCATTTCCCAGCCAGTAAGACCAGAGAAGGAGTCAGCTGCAAGTGGGGTCCAGGTTGGGGAGGGTGATGAAAGAGGATGCTGCAGAGAAAAATTTCAGTGCTCTTAAGAAAACCAAATGATTGCATTACTCCTTTTTCATTGCTTTCTACACAGGGAGTGGCAGGGACATTACCTTGAAAAGCAGGGATATTACTTTGCCAACAAAGGTTCAGTTCAGTTGCTCAGTCGTGTCTGACTCTTTGCAACATTGGATACTGCAGCACAGAAGGCTTCCTTGTCCATCACCAACACCCAGAGCTTGCTCACACTCATGTCCATCCAGTTGGTGATGCCATCCAACCATCTCAGCCTCTGTCATCCCCTTCTCCTCCCACCTTCACTCTTTCCCAGCATCAGGCTCTTTCCAATGAGTCAGTTCTTCACATCAGGTGGCCAAAATATTGGAGTTTCAGCTTTAGCATCAGTCCTTCCAATGAATATTCAGGACTGATTTTCTTTAGGATGGCCTGGTTGGATGTCCTTGCAGTCCAAGGGACTCTCAAGAATCTTCTCCAACATCACAGTTCAAAAATATCAATTCTTCAGTGCTCAGCTTTCTTTACAGCCCAACTCTCACATCCATACATGACTACTGGAAAAACCATAGCTTTGACTAGATGAACCTTTGTTGACAAAGTAACATCTCTGCTTTTCAATATGCTATCTAGAATGGTCATAGCTTTCCTTCCATGGAGCAAGTGTCTTTTAATTTCATGGCTGCAATCACCATCTACAGTGGTTTTGGAGCCCCAAAAAAGAAAGTCTCTCACAGTTTCCATTGTTTCCCCATCTATTTGCCATGAAGTAATGGGATCGGATGCCATGATCTTAGTATTCTGAATGTTGAGTTTTAAGCCAACTTTTTCACTCTCCTCTTTCACTTTCATCAAGAGGCTCTTTAGTTCTTCTTCACTTTCTGCCATAAGGGTAGTGTCGTCTGCATATCTGAGGTTACTGATATTTCTCCCAGCAATCTTGATTCCAACTTGTGCTTTATCCAGCTGGCATTTCTCATGATGTACTCTGAATATTAGTTAAATAAGTAGAGTGACAATATACAGCCTTAACATACTCCCTTCTCGATTTGGAATCAGTCTGTTGTTCCAAGTTCGGTTCTAACTGTTGCTTCTTGACCTGCATACAGATTTCTCAGAAAGCAGATCAGGTGGTCTGGTATTCCCATCTCTTTAAGAATTTTCCAGTTTGTTGTGATCCATACAGTCAATGTGCCACACAAGGCTTTGGCATAGTCAATAAAGCAGAAGTAGATGTTTTTCTGGAACTCTCTTGCTTTTTCTATGATCCAACAGATGTCGGCAATTTGATGTCTGGTTCCTCTGCCTTTTCTAAATCCAGCTCGAACATCTGGAAGCTCACGGTTTATATACTGTTGAATCCTGGCTTGAAGAATTTTGAGCATTACTTTGCTAGCATGTGAAATGTGCAATTGTGCAGCAGTTTGAACATTCTTTGGCATTGCCTTTCTTTGGGATTGGAATGAAAACTGACCTTTTCCAGTAGTCATGTATGGATGTGAGAGTTGGAATATAAAGAAGGCTGAGTACTGAAGAATTGATGCTTTTGAACTGTGGTGTTGGAGAAGACTCTTCAGAATCCCTTGGATTGAAAAGAGATCAAACCAGTTAGTCCTAATGAAAATCAGTTCTGAATATTCATAGGAAGGACGATGTTGAAGCTGAAGCTCCAATACTTTGGCCACTTGATGCAAAGAACCAACTAATTGGAAAAGGCCCTGATGCTGGGAAAGATTATAGGCAGGAGGAGAAGGGGATGACAGAGGATGAAATGATTGGATGGCATCACTGACTCAATGAACATGAGTTTGAGCATACTCCGGGAGTTGGTGATGGACAGGGAAGCCTGCTGTGCTGCAGTCCACGAGGTGGCAAAGAGTTGGACATGATTGAGTGACTGAACAACAAGAATGGCTGGAATGAAATTATAGAGATAGCATCCTTAAGAGGGAACCACCATGAAGGATGGCAGATGGAAGAGATGACAGGGACTGTCCTGATGATATCACAGAGCTGCAACATCAAGCAGCCCTGAACTCAGCGTCCTGGTGGGATCACATAGCTGTCTCACCCAGACTGAGCAGGGGATTATTGTTCCCTGGACACATGGTCTTCAGTAATGAAATCATTTAATTTTGTTCATCACTCCTGCAGCTACCTTTTTGGTAGCTTATTCTGTTTTATTACTGACACCCACATATAGGCACCTTTTCAGTTTTATTCTAACATTTAAGAATTAATTGGCGCTTCCATGGTGGTCCAGTGGTTAAGAATCTGCCTTGTAATGCAGAAGACACCGGTTTGGCCCCTCTTCCTGGAAGATCCCACACGCCACAGAGCAACTAAGCCCATGTGCCACAACTACTGAGCCTGTGCTCCATGACAAGAGAAGCGAGTGCATTGTAACCAGACAGTAGCCCCTGTTCTCCACAATTAGAGAAAGCCTGCATGCAGCAACAAAAATCCAGCACAACCAAAAATAAATAAATAAGAACTAACCACTATCAAAAGAAACTTATGACATGCAACGTATTTGAAACCTTACATTCCCTTTTAGATTTAAGAACGCCTCTCCCTTCAACTCAGACTTTTAGAAGAAAATTTCCTTTTGAAACCTTATTTCCTATGACTTTCATTCTTTACAATACTGCAAAGAAAACAGTATAACAGAGAATGAGATAACGAGTCTGAACCTGAGGGCATATATTGATGGTTACCTTCTTTTTATTTTAAAAATTCCTTTTGGAGTTTCCTCGACAAGCATTCAGAGTTGCCTCTATACCTAACAGTAGTTTTAGCACAAAGAAGTAAACTGAAGATTCTATTCACTCAAGCCATGCATCAGTGTGATATTAAGCAAACTCAGGGAGAATGCATAAAACTTGCACATGATTCCCTTTTAAAAGGAAAAAAAAAATCTTCAGTGGTTTATATAAGAAGGATTAAAAAATGTACATGGCTGGAATTACCGAAGTCAGATTCTGTGTGTTTCTGCCCAGGTCTCTAGCATGTCTGAACAGAATTTCTGTTTATGTGTATTGGCACTACTCTTTTATTCTCAGGTATTTACAGCTTTGCTGACACCTGTTTTGGGTTTTCAACATCTACATGATGCAGCCAGATAGAAGACTGGGGAATGTTTCTAATTTTTTTTTAAAAGCCAGATTTATTTCCTGTATTTTGATGAAGGAGGAAAAATAATTATCATGCCATCTATTATCAGGTTAAGAATTGAGTAATTTTTCAAATGAAAGTATTCTTCAAATAAATCTACAAGGAAAAAAAAAACTAGTGTTTTAGCTGAACATATATATTTTCACCTCTCTTCCTTTACTATGACAATCTCTTCCACATCCCAGATCATATATTAAGGAAAATTCAATGTCTAATTTAATGTGTGGTTAGTCGTTCAGTTATGTCTGACTCTTTGCAAGCCCGTGGACTGCAGCCTGCCAGGTTCCTCTGTCAGTGGGAATTCTCCAGGCAAGAATACTGGAGTGGGTTGCCATGCCCTCCACAGGATCTTCCCAACCCAGGGATCGAACCCAGGTCTCCAGCATGGCAGGTGGATTCTTTACCAACTGAGCCACCAGGGGATCCTTAATTTTACATAGTGAGAATAAATAAAAACTTGACTATTGATAAAAAAATCTAATGAACACATGCTTACTCAATATTTTCAGTTATGAAGAATTTTTTTATGTATACTGAAATTACAGTTGTTTAGTATTCCAAATCTTAAAATACTTTTTTTCATGAATTGAGGCATTCTGTAACTTAAAAGTCACTCTCATAAATTCCCCTATCCTGGAAATAATTCTCTAGTAATAAAGATAAATGGATAAATGAACTTAACTCCTCTCAATAAGCATCATGTCTTCTATTATACACACATATATGTATAGATAGGCTTCCCTGGGGGCTCAGCAGAAAAAAAAAACCCACCTGCAATGCGGAAGACCCAGGAGACATGGGTTTAATCCCTGGCTTGGGGAGATCCCATGGAGGAGGGCATGGGCTTCTGTGGGGGCTCAGACAGTAAAGAAGAATCTGTCTGCAATGTGGGAGACCTGGGTTCGACTGCTGGGTTGGGAAGATCCCTGGAGAAGAAAATGGCTACCCACTCCAGTACCCTTGTCTGGAGAATTCCATGGACAGAGGAACCATGGAGTCGCAAAGAGTCAGACACAACAGAGCAACACACACACACAGACACACACACACACAGACACACACACACACACACACAGATACACACACACACACACGTATATATGTTCCTATCATATTTGTGTGTGTGTG